CCGGCGACTTCTTGAGCTAACAGTAAGAGCAGTGGCTGCCTGAGCCGAAAGGTCCAGCTCCGAGCCAAGCCTGTAACAGCCTCTCTATGGTCCAGCCTCCACTACCGGGGACGGCACCGGGCGGCGTGGGGTGGGTTACACCTGCCGTTGTTTTCTGCCCACCTGCGGGGGGGCCGGCTGGCTCAGGGACTCCGTCATGGTGGGCGGAGCCTCTTGTGTTCCTGCTTGATTGGACCTGCTGGAATGAGCCTGTCCCCCCGGCCCAGGCCGGTTCCTGCTCGGATAGATGGGAGCCCAGACTGCAGCAGGCCTGACCGACTCGTGGAGGGGGGTCCCGGCAGGACTGGGGTGGTGTTTGGGGGGCGCTGCCTTTCTCCATCCCATGGCCAAAGGGACGGCCTGGTTCTCCAGGGCCCCCGGCCCCCTCCTAAGCAGCCACTGCCCGCTCCCTCCCCCAGAGCCGGCTGGACATGACGGACTCGCGCCTGCGCCAGGACGAAGAGCACAGCAACGACCTGGAGAACGCACTCATCCGGCTGGAGGAGGAGCAGCAAAGGTGTGTCACGGGCAGTGGTGGGAGGGGTCCTGTCCACGGGGCTCCACCTGGGGCTCAGGTGGGTCTGGGCAGCTGCATCCTCGGAGCCCCATGCTTCTGGGCCTCTATTGCACCTTCTGCCTGGCTGGGCTTCATGCTGGGCCGGGAGAACGAGAGGGCACCTTCCTTGGAGCCTGGGCTATGCCAGGAATCTACCATTGGAGTCTGGGCTCCTGGCATCGCCTGCACGTAGGCCCAGCATTTCCCTGCAGCCGAGCCATGGGGTTGTGATCCTATCCGGCTTCCCAGGCTAACCAGGGTCAGGCTGGGTTCATATTTGGACAGGTGACCTCCTAGGACGTCTGGTTACTGTAGGCAGTGGTGTCGCTGGCGTTCCCCGCCCCTCCGAGTACTGCACTACTAACCCCTAGCAGCTGCGCTTTGGAAGTGTCGTGTATTTTGCGGCGTGAAGCTGTCCTGAGCGCTAGTGCTCACTATTGGTCCCTTGGTGTTTTGGATGAGTCAGGGTGTTCACTTCAGCCTCGCGGCCAAATTCCCTCGCAGGTTATTACGTTGGGCTTCCCCAAATCTCCTCTGCAAATTGGATTGGATGGGCTCTTTTTTTGCTTCCTGTTGTGTGCAGCTGCCACGCTACGCCCCAGAGGTGGCTGCCTGGCGGTGGTGGGTGAACGGATCCCTGTAGCTCCCTTATTGACAATGGGGTCAGTTAATGTTGGGGTCAGTTAAGGTCTGGAAAGGGCCAGGAGGCGCTTGGCTGGAAGGCGCTCGACTTGGGCAGTGATTGTCTTATTCTGAAGGAAGTGTTTGGATCTGTGTTGTTTGGTGTCTCACAGCTGCGATATCAGGTCCCATCCTCCACGTTGGGCCCTTTGCCCCATGCCAGAGTTGGTCCCTTCCCACCTGTGCGCGGGCCCCTCTTTTCCTTCTCAGCCCCTGCTCTCTCGGTCGATGCTGATGCTCTCGCTGGGTCCCCGTCTCCAGGAGCGCCAGCCTGGCCCAGGTCAACGCCATGCTGCGGGAGCAGCTGGACCAGGCCAACACCGCCAACCAGGCCCTCAGCGAGGACATCCGGAAGCTGACGACCGACTGGACCAAAGCTCGCAACGAGCTGGAGCAGCGGGAGGTGGAGTGGAGGCGAGAGGAGGAGGTTAGGGCCGGAGAGATGCCCTGCTTGGCATGCGTCATTCTCCCTGGTGCATGCCCGTCCCGTGGGCACTGTCCTGCTGGGCACAGACAGATCTGCACACATGCTGCCAGGGCGGCTCCCGCTGGCCCAGAGAGGCAGCGCCTTGGCTGTAGGCCACGTAGCACATTGCTGGGAGCCGGCCATAGGACACCTCCCTTGCTCCAGTCCCTGGAGAGGTGGTTCGTCCCCTCCCCTGCAACTTCCTTTTACCCTCAGTGGGAGCCAAGTCTTTCTGCTCCGGGCCTTTCCGTGCCAGCGGTCACTGCGTCGCCCCAGAGGTGGCTGCATTTCAGTGGTGCTGCCTGTGCATAGCTGGTCAAGCCCTTTGGTGGGGGGAGGGGGTCCTGCCGCATCAAAAGCTCTGTATAAACGTAGCTGTTGCTAAGAGTCCTGCCTGGAGCTGCCATTGAGGTCAGTGGCGCCGGCGCTTCGGGATAGCGAGAGCAGTGCAGGGCGCCCCCCGGAGCAGGGCTTGTGGGGCGTTATGGGGGATCAAAGCCAGGTGCTCTGTATCCAGCCAGGCAGCGAGTGCGTTGCTGTGCCCTGTGCTTCCCCCGGGGTGCGCTGGCCAGGCCCTTGGCAGCGCTGGGGGGGGTGGTGCCTGGGGAGGGGGATCCGGCTGTCACTGCTTCTCCTCTCCTCTCCCCGCCCAGTCTTTCAACGCCTACTTCAGCAACGAGCACAGCCGGCTGCTGACCCTCTGGAGGCAGGTGGTGGGCTTCCGGCGCCACTTCAGTGAGCTGAAGACCATGAGCGAGAGGTCAGGAGGGGAGTGGGGGCAGGGGGGGTGCGGTTGCTGGGCTCTTTTTCTCCCAAAAGCAGAAGGAGCTGGGCCTGGGAAAGCTGCCCAGCCCCACGTGGTGTACAGCGCCTCCTCCAGGATCCCTGTGAGAACAACCTGAGTACAGAACAGCCCTCTCAATCTCCCCTGCACCACCCAGACAAACACGTTAGCCAGCCCTGGGAGCCATGTTCGGCTGCCCGGCCTGATTTCTGCTTCTCTGCGTGTCCTGCCTGAGGGCCTGTAATGACCTTCTCCCTGGGGGGGGTGCAGGTTCTGAACACTCGGGCCCCTGTGGGTTTAGATCCCCCTTGGAAGAAGATCCCTGCAGGTGATGGGGCGTGGGGTTCTGTAGATCCAGCAGCGTGGGCTCCTCGGGGTGCTCGGGCCCCCGGAAACGCCCCTCTCTTTGGGACTCCGGTGCAGGGACCTGTCGGAGCTGAACAACGCGCTGTCCAGGTCCAGCCGCACCATCCACGCCGCCTGCCTGAACCTGAGCAGCAACCTGCGTCTGTCGGAGAGCAGCGCCGGCGCGGCCCTGGAGAAGCAGGCTCTGCTGCAGGCCCAGCTGGAGGAACAGCTGAAGGACAAGGTGCGCGACATGATCCAGCTGCAGGTCAGGTGTGACATGGAGAAAGCGGAGCTCGGCACCAGGTACGGATGCCCCCGATCGGGGCCAGTGTCCCAGGCCCTGAAGCTTGGAGCTCGTCGGGCCGGTAGAGGCACCATGTGGGAATCGGGGAGCGCTGCCCCACCAGCAACCTTGGAGATCCTGGGGCTCTGGGCTGAGCATATCCTGCTTGTGGGAGAAGGAAGGGCAGAGGGGGCCCGTCTGCCCCATGTTACGACCATCCTGGAGCCTTAACTTTCCACCTCCCTGCAGGCTGAATCCTGTAGAGCGGCGATACTCAGACCTCAATGGGTCAGGTGACCTGGGGCCTGGCTCTGTAGCTCAGGGGGTTAGTGCAGTGGTCTCAGAACGTGGTGGTGGCCAGTTCAAATCTCATGCAGGCCTGGGTCGGGGTGGCGGCCTCGGATTTTCCAGGAGCCAAATTAGCGCTTGGCATTACCCAAAAGAGCCCCAGTCGTGGGGATTCAGTGTTTCATTTACTGTTTATATATTCTTGGTTATTCTGACCCAGTGTTGTGATTTTATCAACTACGATTGGTTAATAACATCGGAAAAGCCTCCTGATTGGTTAATAGCATAGGTCAATAATCACATCCCGCGGTGTTTTAATAGCGCGGGTGGCAAAGAGCCGCAGGAGACACGTTAACGAGCCGCTCGTGGCTCCGGAGCCGGAGTCTGAGCATCACTGCTGGAGAGTAACGTGGTTCCTGGTTCCAGCCGATCAGAGGCTCCCCGCAGAGCCATTCCTTTGGGTCCCCAGGTGCCAGGCCCAGGACATGGGGTGTGGCCTGGTCTCCCACCGCCTCTTACTAGACATCAGCTGGGCAAGCTCAGCGCCGTGGGGAGGGGACGTGGTGTATGTGGAGGATGTTAGTGTGACAGTGGAGAGGAAATGGCCATGTGCTCCAGGGCTGAGAGAAGCGTCTCAGTCCCTGGACCAAACGTGGAGCGGTAACCCTCTCTCTAGCACGGCTGGGGCACCAGGAATCTCCGAACGCTTGACCTGGCCCATGTCCGCTGGGCTCTGGCCCTGTGCCGTATAGTACGCGCCCCTGGCCGTTCTTCTGCTCGCCCTGACCGGCCCCCCTCCCTTGCTCCAGAATCGCTGAGACGACGGCCACCATGGAACGCTTGAAAGCCCAGAACTCGGAGAAGGAGAAGACGATCGAGACGCTGACCCAGAAGCTGGAAACTCTGGTGAGCGACTCAGCGTGACTTGGCTGGTTCCCGGAGGAGACGGGAGCACCTGAAACAGCGATTGATCCTCGGCAGAGCCGCCCGCTCTGGTGCCTGTGCTCTGGGGAAGGGCTCACCGGCAGTCAGCCTGCCCTTCCCGGCCGAGGGGCCTTATGGGCACCGCTGAGAGCTGGAGCCAGAAACGAGCCATTGAGCGGATATGGGGGGCACGCGCCGCCTGGCTGATGACACGTCTCTGCTTTCAGGAGGCCGCGCGGGCACAGGAGCAGGCAGCGCTGGAGGCCGAGGAGATCGAGGCCTTGCGGACGGAGTCGGAGATGCTCCAGCAGACGCTGCGAGACCTTGCTCAGGTACAGGGTGCGCGGGTCCCGTGAGCAAGGTGGGATATCCCAGAGAGCAGGTTCTCTCACTTGTGAGCAGTTACAGAGTCATAGAGTTTACAGTCAGAAGGAATCACCCAATCACCTAGCCCAGAGGTGGGCAAACTACGGCCTGCGGGCCACATCCAGCCCACGGGACCCTCCTGCCCGGCCCCTGAGCTCCTGGCCCGGGAGGCTCGCCCCCAGCCCCTCCCCCACTGTTCCCCCTCCCCCGCAGCCTCAGTTCACTGCGCGGCCTGACCCGGTCTCTGTGCTGTGCGGTGGCATTGCTGGCTCCAGCCGGGCGGCGCGGCTGCCTGTCCTGGCGCTCTGGGCAGCGCGGCTGTAGCGCCGCCAGCCACCGGTGCTCCAGGTAGCGTGGTAAGGGGGCAGGGAGCAG